GATTTACATCACCAAAATCTGAAGAACTGAAACTCTGAAGTGTCATCCTATCTTGCATTGGAATCTCAAACCAATAAGTATTAGTATTCATAATGTATCTTATAACAATTCTTCAGCCCAGTTACCCTGAAGTCTCATTTTGCAAAAAATAAAAAGTTTATTTTCTCTTCTTATGGGAAGAAAACAGCAATATCAAACATATATGTTACACCTTAATGTAACATGAAAACTAGAATAGGATCTCAAGTCCTCATGTAATTTTGTGCTTTGGAGATTTTTTTAATTATTATTATTATTATTTTAAATCTCTGCTACCTGAAAAGTGCTTGCTCAGCAAAACCTGTCCAAAGTTTTTTATTTAGGTAGAGATAGTACTTCATGTCTTTAAAAAACAATTCACATGAGGCCAGATTCTGTTATCTTGATTCAGTTTATACCCCAGAGATGATCACAAATTTAAATACTTCTGCCCACAGGATGCTCATAAATGGATATAAACAGACTGCATTTATGTTCAATCTATTCATTATGGATGATTCTATGATTCTATGATTCTAAGGCTTTTTGTTTGTTCAACTTCATTCTTGTCTTCCTTATTCTACTGAGTAATCATGAGTGATGTAGCTGTTGGTTGTTAGCTTGTATGTCCTTTTCATTCTGCTTCTATTTAATTTCACATTCATACATGTAAGCCTTAACATTTCTGAGACATGAAAATTTGAAAAACTCTATCCTGTGAGTGCTTGCAGCAAGAAAAACATAAAGTGTAAAGTTCTTGTGTATATGACCGTAAAAACTTAGCTTTTGAATATGTGAAATGAGGCCATCACTTTATTAAAATTAACCTAGATCTATATTAAAATATCAAAATATGAGCTGTAACAGCAAAGAACAAAATCATCTTACTAATATGTGCGTTATTACTGAATCATTTTTCTTTTACAATACATATCCGCTGTGGAGAAAGCAGGTCTGACACTAAATGACATTGATAATATTTCAATATCTGGATGCTGTCAAAAAAGTTATAATCATTTAAACTGGTCAAGAAAAGCTGTAATTCTGAAGAATTCCCATTTTAGAATATCTACAATGACCACCTATTGACAGAGAATGTCACTTCCTGAGACAAGATCCCTAATGGTCATCAGTAATTTTTGGACATTACAAGAGCTAATGCAGCTTTATTATTCCCAGCTTGTAACTCCTGGGGAATCTGACAGCTATGAAAGACATTCCATGTGATTAATCCTGAAATATATGCTTGATTGATAGCCACATTGTTTTTATTATTCTGTGGTCCTTCTTTGTTTTGTTGTTATTTTTTAAAGTTCATAATGAAATAGCTGTGTTTTGTGAAATTGAAACTTTAGTATAGCATAGAAGCTTCCTCTCTACCTCTCTTTTTGTGTTTCATAATGCAGAAATATATCTGGCATAAAGTTTCACATGAAGAACTCAAGAAAAACTTTACAAAATGTATTTTAGTATATTTTGCATTATTTGATTCTAACCCACAGTGCTACTTTCAGGCAGCAAATAGTCATTATGACTGTGCTCTGTTTTTTCACTGGAGTCTATCACTTGAAAGAGTTCCCCTCCCCCATCTCAGCTCTGCTTTGCAAGCTTTTTTATCTTTTCTACCTTGCTAGAGGCATTATTAGGGCAGTTCACCTTTGACCAAATGGGCAGATGAACATCCATCCTCTGGAGCCAGTACTAGTGCTGTTTGGTAGATCAGCTCTCAAATGGCACTGAACTGTGACCTCTTCTTCTGTTCAAAGACTAAATACATAAACTTGAGTTTCCATTGGTGCCAAGCCTGGGAACCTGAGTTGCTCCCTAATCCCAGGTCTCGCAGCCAGCAGCACAATGGGCAGCTCCCCATGCCAGCCGGCCAGCCTGAAAGAATGCCTTTATTCTCTCTTCCTCAACAAATTGCTTATTGTTTGGCCCACAGGCTGCTAGACCTTGTGAACTGTCCAAAACTTTATTGCTTTTCTATGAAACTTTCTTCTCTTCTCCCTTTGATTCTGTTTATAAATGAAATGAATTTCTATTTTCATTTCTTAGCAATATCATTTTAAAAGATAACTGTTACACCGTTACTTTTAATCTTTTTTTCAGAGTATACATCCCTTTTGGAAGCCTGCAGGAACCACAGAAATAATACAAGTTCTGCAGGTTTAGGGTCCTTTAACGCAGTGCTGAATATTACTTAGAGTAAAATGAGGGCAAATGTTTCAGAGTATTATGGTGTTTCCAAAGATGCATACTGTTTCTCTGCTTCTGGTCTCATCTGGACTGTGGCTATACTGTGCCTGTTATATAAATAGTGAGTGTAGGTCAGAATGCTTATCTTGGGTCCCTGAAATAAGGTTGCTTAGGGGCAGCTGTATTTATTGAAAGTTATGCAGACTGCCTAGCCTATCTGCTGTTTGCCTCGATATATTTCTGGAAGCCCCTTTTGCCTTCAACAGAAGCTTCTGGGAACATGGTTACAGAGCAAGCATAGTGCAATTCAGAGCTAGGAAAACATCTGCAGTGTCATGCTGATATAGCAAAATTCCGCCAGATTTACCCTGGGAGAAAAAAAAAAAAAGAAAAAAAAAAAGGCTCCACAGATGTAACCCTTCCACATGAAACGGGAACTGTGTTCCACAAATATGGCCAAAATCAACAGAAGACCCAGGGCATCCCTATTCTTTTCCCTCATATCTTTAGACTTGTGTTGAGACACATTCGCCTCTTTCAGCAGGGAACCTTGTCACTTATTGGAGATAGTGAGCTACAACTGAAATGTCCTTGTGAATAGCAAGCCTGGTTCTGATCACCTGGAGAGTGTTAGTTAAGATCATTTTAAATTCTTACACACTTCTCCCATCACTTTTTGTACATACTGTTTAGGAAAGATGACAAAAGTACACAGTATTCTGGAGCCAAAGATGATCTAAGAATCACACAAATTTCTTCAAAGTGTATGCATGTGTGTTTATATATATTTATTTATATATAATTTAATACCCTTTCAAGTATGAGAATGGCAGCACAAGAGTGGAAGAATTGTAAAACTAGAATGTCCACATTAAGCTGATGCATGGTACATACTGGATGATATATATACTGCCTTATTGTTCAGTTGCGGCTCAGGAAGCTAAATGCATAATTTAAGATATATGTATAGTGTAAGGGTCAAATGCTGTCAGTTACACAAGTGTAAATCATGAGGAATTGCACCAAAGTGACTGGAGTTGCAGTACCCTGGATTTACACAAGTGTTACTGAAAGCAGAATATGAGTCAATACATGTCATCAATACAACTGAGTTACTGGTGCTGATGGAAATTTATGATATGCATGAACTTAAATTCTTCACATTCTTAATTTATTATAATATTGCACGTTATGCTTCTACTTTTATTGCTGTTATTAGAGGAATTAGTGGCTCAAATACTGATATTCTTTAAGTGAAACATCCACCAAATTTTCCCAACCTCAGTTCATAATGACATGAAAAACATTTAATAGCTGCAGAAGCTTACTTACATTTCAGGTCAAAGTCTTAATTTACATAAATGCATAATTCTGATGCTCAGGCAGCATGTTTCTCAGCTGAACTGCACATACAAATGCATCCTTGATGTTCACCTCATTCAATTAACGATTGTTCAGGTTGCAGTGCAGAGATGAGAAGGAAGTTTCCTACATGTGTAGGAAAGCAGGATTTGGATGCAGCAGGAAGGGTTATGAACTTGGCAGAAGGGAGAGAGTATGGAGACCTGGCAGCTAAAAGAAGAATCAACTGTTTTCAAAGATCATGGGACAACTTTCTTAACTGATGGTTCTTGAGTTCATTATTGAGAGTTTGAGTGCAAATAAAATAGGTTTGCATGGGACATTGATTGCAAAATAAAACTCAATGTCAGAAATCAAAGAGGTATAAAAACTGATAATCTACCGCGGAACTAGCAGAGTACCTGTCAGATATCCTTGGCCTCCAATGACCTTGCTTTGCATAGAGGAAGAATATATGATTTTCTGGGCTGAGAGGCAGTTTTTAATTCTGAAAGGAGGTTATGAGTTAAATATATGATAGCAGTCTATTCAATAATATAAGTCAAGTCCTTTACTTGTGGATCCAGAATTTAGTATTCTAACACATAAAATAATACCATTATTTCTTAACATTCTTTTAAATTAAGTACGTTATTTTAAAATAACTTTTTTTTTCTTTTTTTTTTTCTTTTTTTTTTTTTTTATGATATTCTTGAATACCTAGAAAGCTTTTAAAAGCTCAAAAGCATATCCCCCAGTATTCACATAATCAAAAATGGCTGACTGAATTTGGGACACACTTACAGAAAAAGAAAAAAAAAAAAAAAGATGGATATTTAAGATTACAATGATCAGCTGTGAGAGTTTATTGTTTCAAAAGAAATACTGAAAAATGAGTCTGAACTCAGAAGGGCTGAATGGATCTCAACATCATAGTGACAATTAGATTATAATTTATATTAAAACATTATCTTGAATTGTGATTGATTTCAAAAGATTAAGACAAATCTAAATATTGTATACCTGGTACATTTATTTAGAAATAAGTCAGTAAAGATCAAGGATTTTATTATTTTATTTTATTTTATTTTATTTTATTTTATTTTATTTTATTTTATTTTATTTTATTTTATTTTATTTTATTTTATTTTATTTTATTTTAATTTTATTTTATTTTATTTTATTTTTTATTTTATATTTTTAATAAAGACTCATTTGTGTATGTATGCTCAACACGTACACATACACTCATCCAGTTAGAATACTGTGTAGGTAGAGATTTGTCAGGATTGTTTGATCCCAGAAGGATTCCTATAAGAAAAACTTCTCTTTCAGAGAAATGATCTCTCTAGAGACTGATAGTGATGATACAATAGGCTGGAGTTGCTATTATTAAAAAAAAAAAAAAATACTACTTTTTCTGACTATGTTTCTTTTTTTCCCAGTGGGATTCTGATTCCAGACATTCTACCAGCCTGACGTCCACTGGGAAAATGATGACACCATAAATTATTTAAAGGTTTGAAAACCACAAGGACTACTGTATATAACCAGATTGGATTGACTTTTTAACTCTTTTGATTAATAATACATAAAGCCTTAGATATGTGAAGTGGTCGAGTGCTAACCTGTTAACAAAGGAAGTAGAAGGGATGAATTCTAACATTTCTCATAAGTTATTCTACTTAACACATTGGCCAAACAAAACAAACAAATGGAATGCTCTGCTTTAGTCTTATACCTTCAATGTACCATCAATATTTGATGACTACCTAATGTCTCTATATCTCTGGCCATACATGATATTTTGATCATCTGGCTTCCCAATTTCAATCTGCTTTATTTATTTATTTATTTGCTTTTTTTTTTTTTTCTTTTTTTCTTTTTTTTTCCTTGCATTCATTTAAACATACAACTAGAAAGTAGACAAAGTGTTTCAATTTTCTGGTTTGTTTGTTAACTTTAATTTTAACAGCACTGACTACTCAGATATGGCATTGATATTTCAGTCTTCAAAATCAACAAATGAGAACTAGAATTTCATCAGTTTAACACATTTTATACTCAGTAGGAGTAGGTATGTATGCTGCTTCAGATAGATTTCACGTTCTACCCTTCTGCTGCTGGCTCTGTTGTAATTATCCACTGGTTTCATAAGTTTTGGTTTCTTACAAGCTGCTTTGGGTGGAACTCTGAGAACCACTGTTATTTCTTTCCTGTTCAAGTATCAAAGATGCTCAGGACATCCTGTATTTCTGAGCAACAAGAAAAATGACTGGAGACATCACCGTGCCTCTGGGTTGCCTGACCCATGCTTCAGGCAACAGGCTATCCAGGGTGACTTTGGTATGACATATTACTTAACAATAGAAACCACTGAACCACTGCATTTTTGTTGGATTTATTGTTTGTTTTTGTTTGTTTGTTTTTGTTTTTGTTTTTTTGTTTTTTTTGTTTTTTGTTTTTTTTTTTGTCTGTTTGGTTTGGCTTGGTTAGATTTATTGTGCAGGTGTTATCTCTGGATTTTTTTTTTTTGCATTATCCCAAAAGAAGTGTAGCTAGATGGAGTGGTGGTATGAAAACCATCTTTGTCTCTTTAGTCATTCCTATGCATTTATCCTTTGTGATTCCCCACAGAATTCCACTCTCAACTTCTTTCTGCACAGGCACTGGCTACTCACTCAACCTGCTTAATGTACAAACACAGAATGACTAATTAATTCTTTTTGCCTCTTAATATGCCCATTAAGTTGTCCTTTCTTGGTTCCCCTAATGACAAATATGCCTTTCTGCCCATGGCCCTCTTGTACTTCTTCTGCCATTGCAGACTGACCATTCATTCAATGTCCAGCACCAATGATGCCTCCTCAAATATTCTAAAAATCCTAAAATCCATGTGATGTTAATCTATGTATAAAGGAATGAACATTCCAATTCAAAAGCCTATCCTTCAATTTTTGTCAGTCCAACTTCCGCATTTTTTTTTCTGTTATTTTGTTGTAAATTTGTATTGATGCCATTAGTGGAATTCAAATGAATTTATAATATGAGCAAAATGGTGTCCTCATCCTGGCTCTGAGAAATAAATGGGGTTCATTTTCTTACTAAAAAACAAAATTCAGAAAATTGTGTCAGCCCACAAATTGCACCTGAACTGGGTCTCACTTGTGATGCCAATAATAAATGTAAATTATTTATCAACATTTATTAAATGTTAATGAGTGCCATCATTTGACTTCCGTACACACAATATGTGAAATCTGTTGTCAGATTCTGTTCCCTTTTCTGATGCTAGGTATTACCCAATTTGTTTATAGTTTCCCCCAAAATAAAGTATATTCATATTCTATAGAAATAATAATCATATCTTCTATAGTAAATATATATATGCACCTTTTATCATTTTATGCCTGTCAATAACAGTGTAGCCACATTAATTTGTTAGCTGCTATGGTTAAAAACACCACTAGAACAATTTATTCCCATTCTAAAACAAAATTCTAGCCACAGTGTTATTTTTACATATTTCCTTACTGCATTTTAAGGTCTAATCAGGGGACTGAGACCAGCATCTGGCTTTACCAGAATAGCAAGTGTCTTTCCCATACTATCTTTCAACTGTCATTTAATATATATATATATATAAAAAAATCAGCATTTGTTTTCTTTTCCATCTGGGATTATGTGACAAAACAATCTCCTGCATCTAATCAATTATTTTTCTTCTATATCTTTTGCATTTTCCTGCAGTACCGTTTGCAAATATAACAGAAAGATCCTTCAGAGATAATCTGGTGATTATTTCAAATTCAACTTTGGACGCTGCAGGCATTAAAAGATGAAAATTACCTAAAGTCCAGTGTTGTACAACAAATCTCTACCTCTGGCCTCCTGTCCTGAGGTGAAAATACAAACCAGAGAGATATTTAGAATCATTTTGACAGTTCATAAAATTAAGCAGGGATTAGGGATTCTGTCAAAAATAAATAAGTATAATGCCACAGGGCCCACACAATGTTAATCACATCTCCTTGCAACAGGTACTACTGCAACCCACTTCTGGGTGGGGGGGAGGAGAAGAAAAGGAGTCATTATGTTAATCATGGCACGTATTCAGTATTTAGCACTGGTCATTCCAATTCCAAAAATCTGAGTGCAGAAGTTCAACATGTTAATACATATACATATGCATACAAACACATGCATAATTAATATATGTATATAAACTACCCATTCAGTTTAAGTCTATTCATTTATAGGCTTCTGTAGAAATGTCATATACCTTGTATATTCTATTTTCCTCTGAATTTTATGGATTAGCCCTAATGATACAAACACTTAAACATATGCTTGATTTTACATAATGAGAATGCCTTCCTGATTTTAGGGTAGCTCTCAATCTACACTAACACTCTAGTGGGAATGTACTCTGTGGTGCCAGTCATTTAGAACACATATTTAATAAGAAAAGAATTTAAACTACTTTAGTAGACATAGATGGCTTTAACACTGCTACGTTTGCAGCAGGTAAGCCCAAGAAATTGCAAACATGCCTAAAATTAATTCATAGCAAAAAGTGTGCAGCTGACCACAGAAATACATTTGGGGCAAGCATGGACTTTTACAGTCAGCTTCCCAAATTTCCCCACCCACTGCATAGAATTTTCAGTACAATTCAAAACATTTCCTCAGCACTAGCCTTCTAACAGTGGTGCTTTTCTTTTTCTTTCTGGATGAACAAACTTTAATAAGTTGCATTTACACAGTGTATAAAATCAGTTTCACTGTAGTAGATTAGTATCATGTTTCAATATCTTTGGAAAATGTTCAAGTTAAATTAACATGTTCCTAACAAACTGAAAAGTCTGAAATAGATTTAAAACTTTTTTTTTTTTAAATTAAAAATAAATAAATAAATAAAAGATAAAAATTTCAAGATATATTTTATGCTCAAATTATTGTCACTTAATATAAATATTTAATTTTCCTCATTCTTTTAATGATGTAAATATTGTTTCATAGCAGATATTAACAACTTTCCTGATTCCTAAATGAAACAGACATTAGTTTACATAATCCATTTTAGATGTTTGAAATGTAATTAATTTCCATCTTTAAAATTTTCTTATGAAAATTATTCTCCATCCCACTCTAGTCCTGAATGCTGACTGGAGCTGGAAAAATACATCATAAAAATGTTCATTTAAATATTTAAACAAATTCACTTACTTTGGATTTACATCCCCTTTGGGCTCTACTTTCCATGAATACTCTTATAAATAAACTTACTTTAAGGACGATCTGCAGGGAGGACAAATTATAAACAAAAATTGAAGAATTCACATGGGATATGAATTTTTGAATTCTAATCATTGATTGTTGCACTAGCAATTAAAGCTTACTGGAGGACAATAATCCCATGCTATATTAATTGTCAAGACTTCATGTCTTCATGTCTAGTTTAGTTTGGCATGTTTTTGTTTCTTTTTCTGTAGAAGCACAAACCCTTATACTACTTTGGTGAAAATGCCCATATATGTGTATGTCTGTGCACTCCAGCCAAGGATACTAAAAGACCAAGACTAAGAAGTCTAAGTCCCTTCTTAGCCTGAATCACATTTTACTCATTTTCATCACTGATTTTTATCTGTAATTACTCAGAGTTAGGTAGAGGAGGAACCTGAACTTTGTCTTTCTATGTCCAAGTCCACTGTTCACTGCTCTAACCACAGGG